ATTAAGATTACCAATATTCAGATATTTATATATAGTTGCTTTTCAACTGGTCTGAGAGTTCAAAAGGATAGTTCCAGTGCTATAGTGTTAAAAAGCAAACATATTTTGTTTCATGGGTTTATCTCTAATATGAGAACCAGAAAGAATCTAAAATATAGAGAACTTACTCCCTAATATTCATTGGAATGTACATCAAAATCTAAAATGGCTATTTTGTATAGAATACTGATTTTCCCCCACAAGAGATGAATAATAGTAAACAATGATTTATGAATTAACTCATTTTTAATGGCTTTTGCAGACTTAAAACATACATTATAATCTGCAAAATCAAAATCAGGGTTTGTTTTTTTAATATAGACCAATAATGAACATAGAACCTTCACAGGAAAAAAATAGTTATTTGCCAGGAAAAATAAGTGTTTTCATGAGGAATGTCAAGAGGAAATTAGGGCACTTCATTTGATTTTCAAAATGGAAGGGTGAAGAAATTGCTTTCAATTGTTTTCCCACATTCAATGATGTATTCAAAAAAAAAAAAAAAAAAAAAAAAATTGTGCAAATATTCATTATTTTCAACTACAATTGTTACCTCACAATATGCTTTTATTTCAACTATCATTAAGTTTTTAGAATATGCTGTTTCTGAAACAGTTGGAAAATTTAAAACCTGTTTCTCCTGTCGAAGTTATAAAATTATATAACTAGCAGTAATTAATAACCGATGGAGTTTTTTTTTTTTTTTTTTAAACAATTCCATCAGCCTGGCTTTAAAAATCTCAAATTACAATTTCCTTGGTTCACAATGTAAATTATAAAAATGTGTGAAGTTTGAACTTCATTGTCACATTTGTAATCATAATACCTTTGGACTGCATAGAGTGGCATAACAAGCAAATCACCTGAAATAGCTTGTCAACAATGCAAACATTCAACTGATGTCAAAAAGAAAACTGTATTCGTGTTTTTAATGTTTACACCTGAATACAAATTTGTCACAATACGTCGTTTTTTTTTATTATTTCTAAAAGCCAAACATAGCCATGTAAGAGAACTAGGTCCCCTCATGTCGTTTATCCGCAACAGTAAACTAAATTACGACTTCACTAGTTGTTAAAAAAGAATGAAAAGATGTCAGTATCCGACTAAGAATTTTTTAAGTGACCCATACAGTACAGTACACTGAACAAAATGAAAAGCTGAACGCCCTCCATTAATAAAACTTGTCTGTGAAATGTGTAAGATTTAAATCGATACAAAATAACATTAAAACACTAAAAATAACAATGGAGGTGGAGTTTTGATATTACTTTAAAAAGTTAAAAAAAAAAGCTATTACATAGCAAGACAGCAAGCAAGCAGTACTCGCTTCTCTTGTCTAGGGTGACATTATGTGTAGAGAAAGAAGGGCCATGGCTTTGACAGTCACACTTGCTATTCAATAAAAGACAAGAGTAAAAGAATAAGTACAGTTGGCAAAGAGAATGTGGTTACAAAAAAAAAAAAAGAAAAGAAAAGAAAAAAGGGGGTTGGTGATAAGTGTTGTTATGAAAAAGGGATTAAAAAAAAAATCAAGCGGGAATAAAAGTTTCAACCTCGATATACCATGATGAATAAGACTGATTTTAGAATAGTTATGGCTAAAGAAAAAAAAGAGGAAAAGTGCAAATAAATTGTAATGGTAATTCTACGAAAAAAAGATTTAAATGTTAAAAAAGGGCTGATATTGGGCAAATGCACAAAGAAAATACACATGAACGGCCATAATTTTTTTTATGCATAATGTCGAGAATAATCTGACCTATCTAAAAAAAAAAAAAAAAAAAAATTTTAAGAGTAAAAAAATTGAAAAATACAAAAAAAAATCACAGGAAACTCCAAATTAATCAACAATAATAGCCTTTCTTTTTTTTTCTTTTTTTATTATAAATTTTTTTGGAGATGTCAACTATAATTGATAAAAATATTTTTTAATCCACTAAGTTTTTTTTTTTTAACTAAATAATTTTCATTTACAAGATTTGTTTTCTACCAAGTTAAAGGTTGAAAAAAAAAATGCTAGTGCTAGCTATGCACAAAGATATGGTTTAAAAAAAAAAAAAAAAAAAAAAAATTTACGGAAGAAAATTAAAGTATCTTTCTCACACAGCCACTGGACAGGAGACATGCGACAGAATGACCTTACTATTTTAACAGGATCCATCCGGATGTTTTTTATGCTTATTTCGAATTTAAAAGATGTTCTCCAGTCAATAAATTCAAAGACAAAAGAACTGATCCCAGTATTATTTTGAAAGTTAAACGAATATGGCCCCGAATTAAAAAAAGGCTTGAAATTATAATGTAAATTTTGCTTCTTCCTCCAAGTATAAATTCAAATAAAATACAAAACGCAGAAGCTGTGGAATAAAAGTTTGTCGTTAGTACCAAAAAAACAAACAAAAAACAAAAATGCTTTTCCGAACTTTAATTTATTAATTACTTTCCTCTTCAATTTCCTCCTCGTACTCAAACCCGCCAAATAAGCTGGATACCCGCCGACTATGTCGTGTTACGACGTATAGTCCGATTTCTAAGCCCTTAATAATACATACTTCATCTAGTTTATCATAAAAGCATTATTGCGCAATTAAATATTACTGTTTATTACGAAAATTTCACAATTTACAAAAGCTATGTATGGGTTGGAGGGAAGGGGGTATTCCTTATTAGTCACCGGCCGCTAAGAAACAATATCTAAATTACCAACAAATATAACTTAAGACATTTTCAGAAATTATAATAATTTAATTTCGAAGATTTTTTTCATTTCTTTTGTAAAACTTTTACACCAGATAACTATTTAAAAGAAAAAAAAAGCAATACTCCCATCAGTTAGACAAGAGATGGAGTCGAAAAACTGAGTGATGGACGACAATATTCCTTTTAGATGTCTTTAAAATGTAGCCACTCAATATTAACGAAAATAAAAGACAAAATATCGAAATAGCGATCGAAGGAATGATTTTTTTTTTTTTTTTTTTTAGAATTCTAGATATTTCAACAATCGTTGCCAACAAGAAATGTCACCATTTTTAACAGTTGCTACTAAACCAGGAAAAAGACTCAATATAGGACTGTCATTTTGATTTACAATTAGTTTGAGGGGTTTTTCATAAAAATTTAATTATTTTCCGATGACGATGTTTTTAGATATACTAAGTAAAAGAATCCTAGCGCTGAATTCATTTCTCTAGAATTTTTTCGAGAATGTTCGAGAGACTATGCAATATCTTAGTAGTAGTAGTAGTAGTAGTAGTATTCGTCTTATTAGCATTTAAATGCACATCATTTTACTTTACTTAGTTACTACTTCCAAAGAATTATCAGGTTACACGTGGCACTCAAATTTCATAGATCAAATTTATTTATTAGCTATTTAAAATACCTACATTTCTTTGTTAATTGACTTATTTTTCATTTGCCGTTATAGCCTTTTCTCCTCGGTGAATAAAAGATGCTGAAGTGCGCCAAAAATTTATACGAAAGAATAGGGAGATGATGAAGGAAAAAAAGAGCAAGCAGACAGAGAGAGTCCAGTGGGAGGTAAGGTATATAGAGAGGGGGAGATAGGGAACAAAGAAGAGATGGAATTAATGAGAGAGTAGCATGGCTTAAAAAAAGGGGAAAGGAGGAGAGTGAAGCTTTGCAAACGAAGAGGGAGGGAAGGAGAAAGGAAAGGCTAAAGTGGCATATCGTTAAATATATTATCGAATATATGTTGCATCGTCTAACAAAACTCATTTTAATATTTTTTGTGGATACAAAAAAAAAACGTGGTGCATAATCTCGTATTTGTATAAATTGTAGTGGGTTTAGGTAAGAGAAATATAAGTGAAAAAAATTAGACAATAATGTCGACATGTGGTAATTTTAGTGAATAAGAGATAGCGGCTAGTAGTGTTGGTTTGTTGGAACTTAACGTGAAAAACACTTACTAATTATAAATTAAATACACAATATCAACTGTGTATTTAATTTGCCACAGTAATAACCGAAATATATTTTTAACAATTCAAATTAGATGGTGATCAAATTCAAAAGGTAACAACTAATAAAGCTGACCATAATGAGAAATTCGTGATTTTGAAGAGACTCGAAGCACATTATTTCTTTTTCTTTTTTAAGTATCAAATGCTGGCCGAGAAAATAATAGGAGTCGACGTTTCAACTGGAAAAAGAACCACTTGTTTTGTGCTAAAAGAAAGAGGGAAGAAACTCCTTTAAGTTTAGATAATTATCTTCATAAAAAAAAAGAAAAGGGGTTTAAATTTCAGGTTTGAAGGATATTTATAAAAATAAAATCTATTTGAGTTATATTTAGAAAAAGAAAAAGGAGTGAATATTTCCGTCATTTGTAGGATTGCAATATGACTCAATTTTACTTTTCAGAGATCGAATCACAGATGTTTAACAGCTCTTAAAGATTAGTTTTAGTTATTATCTGATGTTTTGGTATAAGAGAATGCTGACCGACGAGAACATTGTTTTTGATTTGAGTGGAAAAGAGGTAAGATAAACTTACCAAAATAATGGTATCAGCAGCGCTCTGTCACCTAAACGTCTGTTCGTAGAGACTATCTCGCAAATGAGTTTCAAACTCTTGGGTCACGTGCTACAATACTAAACCACTCCTCTACCAAAAACAAAAAAATCTATAAAAATCAACCAACTAATAAAAAAAAAATAATAAAAATTATTCAAATCGTTAATTTTTATTTAAATAAGAGAAAAGCAATAACACGAAAGTAAAATTTTTAAACTTTTCTGAATCTTATTTGCTGCATTACGCACCTTCCTTGGGTTTTGTTGCTGCGGTACTATACCGGAAGTATTATAATTTGTGCTTGTTCATTGACTAAAAAAACGCGTTGTAAATAAGTTGAAATTCTCTTTAGTGTTTACGAACAGTAAGGAAAGACGAGAAATTGCGGCCAAGATTTATTTTTACATTTAAAAAAATGGAGTGTTTGATTGGAATTAAAGGCAGTGACTACGTTTTGGTTGCATCTGATACGATAGCTGCTAGATCTATCATTGCTTTGAAAAAAGGTAAAACGATTTTACTTTTTTTTTCTGTATAGTTTCTGTTTAGTTTAATTGTTTAAAAAATATGCGACATTGCAAATGTTTATCATTACATTATTCTTACAAAAGACATTTTTTTAAGAGAATTTGGAAACGTCAACGAAATGTTTACTTGCACTTTAAATATTGCTGAAAGATTCTTTTGTGTTAATTTATTTTGTAATGTAAAATAAAAAAGCTATTTAAAAAGTAGACTTCCGATTTTTATTAATCATTTTTTAATAAAAAACAATATCCTCAAAATTGGGATAAAAATACAATAAAGAAAATAACTGACGTGTTTTACATCAATCAATCAATCAAGTTGAAACGGTCAAAAAACTAATCTTTGTATAAAGAACTATTTTTTTTTTCTTTTTGTATAATTAACTATTCGTATGGATTCTTTAAAACTTGAATTCAAACTGTGTTAGTGTTTTTTGTTAACCATTCGCAAAAGCAACACCCTGGTTTTTAGCATTATTTTTATTTAATTTTTTTCTTATAATTTTGTCGCCTCCATAAATTTCATGTCAACGTCCCTAGTTATTCATTACATACAAGTTATAACGTTTATCAATCCTTTGTGTTAACATGTGACTTAAAAAAAAAAAAAAAACAAGAATGCATAACATCCTGAAAAGAAAAGGTTTTTTTTTTTTTTTATTGACTATTAGTATGTAGAATTCAAATTTATTAGTCGGTACATTATATTCCGTAAACTGTCAAAGAATCGTTGATGTTTATGAGGAAGAAATATTAGCATTGTTTTTGATCGAAAACTATTTCAAATTTCATTCTTCTACTTAATTGATCTTAGATATCAATTTTCAAGGATGTAAAAATCTTACGAAGTCTAAGAGCAGATAATTCAAGGGGGATAAATAATTGGCTTTTAAATGCCAATGTCTGCACATCATTCGTTTTCGGTTTTGCCTATCTAGACATCGCCTTAGTCCAGGCTAATTTAACATTCTTTTACCTAAAAGTAGAATTGACAATTTTTATTTTAACACCTAAGTATAGGATTTCTATTTTTTTCTTTTAAATCGTGTCCGAGAACCAGAATAACACTTTGGATGAATTGAGAAAAAGATGATACCGGCGTTCAATTGATCAATGCCGGCTTTTCTTGCATGGACTCGTAAGGCAAACATGGCGGTCTTCATTCACTTTCTCTATAATTCGATCTCCCTACTCCATAGGGATTAGAGTTGCAAAATTCCAAAATGAAAATGCAGGATGGGCTTTCTCAACCATGGTTCCACAGACTCATATAGGTACCTCCACGAAAACGCTAAAAAATCAGCATACCGTGATGAAAACATGCTCTAAGTTCAAACGTAATGAAAACATAGTTTAAGTTTTAGTCAAACAAAAACAAAATCGTTATGTTATTAGAAACTAGAAAGGATCAAAGTATTTTTGTTTTTGATTATTTAATTCCATTTTTTTACTCCTTTTTAGAACATTCGAAATTTTGATTAAAAAATACTTGTTTTTCTTGCGTCAACGGTTGTAACTTTTTAGCATAGCAAATTTTGGCCTTTTTCGTGGTGACAAACATTAATTTGGAAATTCTTGCAAAAATCAAATAATTATTGTCGGGTTTTAATGAAATTTTCAGAACTTATTCATACATAAATGAATGAAATTATTTTTAAGAAATTTTTTATTAGAAATTTTGGTAAAAATATTTTTTTTTTTAATTTTTTTTTTTATTTTATTTTTTTTACATGTTTCAACCTCCTTTATGAAAACTTGAGAAATTCAACGTGATAAATTTTGGTGACTATAAAACTAAAAGCAGAAGCCTTTGAAGAATTTAAATCACCGAACTTCTTTTTAAAAAAAAATCGGGCCCCGTCTTACCGAAAATCTGTTTTGAATCTAAAAATAAAAAACGCAATAAAACTAAAACATTAATTATAGAAGCTTTTAATTAATTGCTTTTAAAAGACAATATTGTCTGATGAAAAAAAAAATTTTTTCGACGAAAAATCAATTTTTACAAGATCTGTTTTCATTTTTTACCATTTTAATTTGAAAAAGTTTTTAAATCTTTTAAAATGCATTTTCAATTTGATAATTCTTAGAAAATATTACTAAGTAAAACTATATTTAATCGTAAAGCTTATTATTACAATCCGATGACACCAAACATTTTTAAAAGAATTTTGGTTTGTTTTTGTATGTGTGATTACATGCAGAATTTCTAAAGGATGGATGTATAAATTGATAAATCTATCATTAAAAGGTCATGTGTTTCAAGGATTGTCTCCTTCACCTTATAAACTTTATCATTTGCTCCACCATACTTAACTATGAACATGTATGGCTGTCAATGAGTCGATTAACACATCAGAAAAACAAGACTCCATAGTTAAGAAATGTTTGTATACAACATTTTATGCTATGAATAAGTAATATTTGTTTCAAATCAGATTATTTTAACTTTAAATTTATTAATTTCCCTCAAATGTTTCAGAAATATATATTTTATTTTTGCAAAATTTTTAGAGCCGAGAATTAGCTTTCAAATCTGTCAAAAATCGCTGATTTTCATCAATTTTACTGAAAAAAAATCAATTCTGATCAATATAATTTCTGTTGAAATACACCACAGTATTTTGTTTACTGGAAATAGTAAATTTGAATTTCAATTAAAGCTAAAATGAAATCTTCAAGAAAGCTTCTTCATTTTCAAAAATTATTTTAAACCTTATGTATGCCAAATTAGTAGAAGTACCTACTGAAAAATAACTGAATTAAATAAACTTTGGTATTTTGGAGTAAGTAATTCATATGTAATAATATCACTCAAAATATACATTCAGTGGAAAATAACAGTTCAATTATTTTAGTAGATTTTTAGAGTGAGATAGAACTGTATTTTAAGAAAAACAATATAAAGTTCTTTTTTTTTTTTTTTTTTCAGCAATGCAAATTATTCATTGCATCTTTAAAATGTATGTTCTGTGTACTGCCATACACTTCCTAAAAAATACAAACTGAAAAACGCATTTTAAATAATTTAAATGCAATCTTTGAACTTAAATTTCTATTTGAAAGATAATAGCCTAAAGTTTAACCTAAAATTAAAAGAAAAATTAATTTCTGTATATAAAGTTTTTAGACATTTTTAAAACATTGGTATGTTCACTCGTTAATCATTGAACCACCATCATAAACAAATGTAAACAACAAATTTAAAAAATCTCTTAAAAATTCATAATTTGTTTTAAATATGTGTTTTGAATTAAATTAGTAAATTTAAGGATTAAGTGGATTCTGTATGCATAATGCTTACTTTTTGTTGAAAAGATAATAAAAATAACTTATTTATGCACAGTAGCCTGTGCGGTCAGAGGTCAACAACTATAAATATCTCTTTCAGTCCCTCTTAAAATGTGTACAAAAAAAATTAAATGAAATACAGAACACCAGCAGTGCAATAATCAAGAAATTAATATTTGTTTAAAAATAAATTCTTTAACCTTATAAAACCAATAGTTTAGGAATATAGTTACATTATGTGTATTTTTTTTTCTTTCTGTCTAATCTGAAAGAAAATGTTTTACTAAAATATGTAAGCACCAACTTTTTATTTATTTTTTGAGTTTTACTGAATTATTTTTTCTAAGGTTCTGGATGAACTTTCAAACATCCATGGAGGATCAATGCTTAGCTAGCTAACCATGAAACCATAGTGGGGAAATTTATTAACAGAGTAAGACCTTGCATTGACAAGACTTAATAAGGGAGTACTGAAATGTTCTTGGCTTTGATCAAGAAGCTCTTTAAAAACATCAATGTTTGGCCAATTAGGGCAAGCTGAAAACATTTTAGCTACCCTTTTCTTTTAGTTGTTGATGTGTAAGAGTTAAAATGTCAGACATTTTGTCTGTTTTTAATGTTTTCAAAGAATGGATACATATACATATATTCTGAAAGATATAGGCTATCACTTTCATTATACTAATGACTTTTTAATAGAAATAATTATTGGCTTACTTTTGAAAAACTTGATATTTTACCAAATTAACAGGAACCTCATAATTGAAAGGATAATACAAGAATGCTTATCTTTGTATTTACAGTATATAAAACATTTTGTTTGTAATACAATTGTTTTACATACAAAATCTGTTTTCCTATATTCTGAAATCTATTTTTAAACACAAGTTTGTATCAAGTGTAAAAATTGAAGAGCTTTTTGCTTTAATTAGGAAGTTGTTTTTATTCTAGAGTAGGATGACAAGAAATTTCCAGTTTAATGTTCTACCAAATAATCATCTCTGAATGATACACTCATTTGTTTCAAAATAGCTTTTTATGATGCTTTTATTTATTTATTTATTTTTTGTTAACAAGTGCTAGACCAGAAATGGTTTAAAAAAAATAGAGACATGATAAAGACAAATTGGCTCACAAAAGAATGAATAAAATAACTAATGAGATACAATGTTGGGGTGACTTAAATATTCATTTTTAATATTTTACATGTTTTATGAGAAAGGTTATTTGAAATCCTGTTTTTGTAAGTGAAATAACAAGTCAGATATGCCCATCTTGTGTTTAATTTGATGCTCTGTAAATATTGCAAGTTCTTGAAAAGATTAATCAAACTCCTTCTGACTGATGTGAATGAGCAAATTGAAATAATAGTATCATACTTATTATAAAACCCAGGTTGTGTGTGTGTCTGTACGTTTATATATTGGATCTGATTTCCTACATTTTTCAACTGATTTCAACAAAACTTCACAGGACTACGTAAAATTACCTTGCGGGGGTTCTGACAGTGCCAAAAATTGGAAAAACACAATTGTTTTTGCACGAAATCAATTTGAAAACATGATTAAGAGTCATCGCGAAAATGAAAGGGGGGGACAACTCATATCGAGTTATACTTATTATAAAACCCAGTTTGTGTGTGTGTTCATTTATATATGGGATCGGATTTCTACATTTTTCAACCGATT